CCCCGCGGGTGCGACGAGCGCGACGCTCCCGACAAGTCCCGTCGGGGCCGCGCGCCCGTCTCGCGGCTCCTCGGGGATTCATCCCGCTGCCTTGCTCCTCCCTGAGGGAAGCAGTGCCGCTCTCAGCGGGAATCACTGTCTCTCCGGGTGTTTTTAGGAGAGGGAGGCTGGAAAGGGGGTGAGAAAAGGTGCATTTACAGCCAGAGGCAGACATGTTATATCAGAAGTGTTTGCGCTGGCAACTGGGGCAAGTCGCGCCTGTGCTCTTGGTCCGGAGCACGTGTCTCTCCCGAGAGAGATGCTGGGCCCGGTGGATGTGGCTAAGCGCCCTCCCGGCGAGGACGTTTTCCTCGGAGGACGCGCAAGGATGATGTCAGACTTGGGCCTCGGAGCTGAACCACGTTCCTAGCGTTGCCTTGCACCGCCTGTCCTCCCAAACTGGTCGCCTGACTACCGGCAGCCGTCGATACCGGGTTCATCTCCGCCCCAGCCGTGTTTTAGGAGAGCTCCGGCCTTCTGTTCTGCTCCTGGATGGAGCGTTAAGCGCTGAAAGGCTCAGTGGTTTGAGACGACGCTTTCCCTGGGCTTCCTCGGTGCAAAATTGGTTCGCGCTGCATCTCGGATCGCAGGCTGCCTTTCACATAAGCTGTTTTCCCCCACGGTTGTGGAATTAAATGCAAATATAGCGCCTGGATGAGTCATAAACAGGGAGAGAAATGAAAGGAAGAGAGGACGCTGTCTAGTTAGCGCTGGAAAAATGTGAAGTGGCCGAGTTCTTTAGCTACAGAAGAGATTCCTCTCAAGCTCGTAGATAAGGAGGTAGGAGAGCGGAGCTGGAAGAAACTGATAAAACCAAGGAGGATAATTGTGAACAGAGGAGTAGGGAGCTGGTGGAATTGTTTGCAAGTGGATTTAGGTGAATGCCAACAAGCTGCTGGTATAGTTGCAGTGTGTATTTTTTATGTACAGCACTCACTGAGCTTATCAGAGGGCTCTAGTCTCTTAGTCTATTGTATATTATAGGGTATTGTCTGATTTTGTCATGCCGTGGCTCTCTGCCTGCTCCTGGAACAGGAAAGCAGCCTGTGCTGTCTGCTCCCAGGGGCTCTCCAGGACTGCCCGCCGATCCC